CTCTCTGCCCGGAGAGGCGTTGGACAGGAAAGGGAGGTGACGACTTATGGTGCTGTGGCCGGTTCCCACACGGGGTGGGCAGGCTGGGTTCGCCGACCCTCAGGGCCCTCCCCAGGGGACGCAGTTTCCCTCTGGGCTCCGATCTGGTGTGAGTACAGGGGAGGGGTGGCCCTCCAAGCAGGGGTGTTTCAGCCCCCAGCCACTGCCGGTAGATTCTTTCCTGACACCAGGTGTGGCTGACACAGCCTCCAGAATCTCGGGGGTGGGGCGGGGGGAGATTTTAAAACTGCACCTTGCTTCCCCCCCTCATCCTTGGAGATTTTGGTTGGATTCCCGGTCAGGGCACATGCCCGGGTTGACTTGATCCCCAGTAGGAGGCATGCAGGAGGCAGCTGATCAACGATTTTCTCCCATCGTTGATGTTTCCATCTCTTCTTCTCCCTTCCTCTCTGAAATCAATAACAACATATATATATAGTGTGTGTGTTGGCAGTCTAGCCAGTGGAAGCCCAGCAGTGGCACCAACCCCAGCTTCTCCAGCAGGTGGGGTGCGGGTGGGGTGGGGGTGGCTGTCCAGGAAGAGGAGCATCCCCCCGAGCCCCACCCCCAGGGGAAGCTGGGGAAGCCACTGCACTGTTGGCCATGGGTCTCGAGTTTCACAGCATTTCAAGTGAAGGGGAGCTCAGCGGCCATGTCTGCTGACCCCTCCAGGTGCAGGTGAGGCAGCTAATGTAGATGCCCCGTGTGTAAGGGGGAGTTACTGGCAGGACCTTGGCCAAATCCAGGGGACCCCATTCTTCCTTTTCCTGCAGAGGAGCCTGGGAGGCCGTGGCTGGACGGAGCGGGCCTTCGATGAGTTGGGTATAATAACATTTTTGCCGTAGTATGGGGGAGCCCCCCTCCCCCAATCCACAAAATAACAGGCGGACGTGAGCTACGCACACCTGAAGTGAGTTCTCTGACGAGTGCTTGGGTGTAATAAGATGAAAAAAATCTGAAATGAAAAGGTATAATGACATATCCGCAACTGGGGGGAATTGTCTTAAATGGCTGATTGTAATGAGATGTACATAAATTGCAAGGCTTGTAATGAAATGAAAAAAAAAAATTCTTGCCTGATCATACCGGGTGCAATGTCTACACCTGAAATAAGTCGTCTCGGCGCACGGAGTGTAATGAGATGCATATAATCTTAAAGAGTGTAATGAGATGAAGAATAAATCAGGCGCTTGTCTTAAATGAAAGATGTGCCAAGAGGCGCACACCTGAAGGGCATCGTCCTAAATGGGCCTCGTTTAATGAGATGCATTTAATTTGCAAAGGGGCTAAAGGAGTCTGGCCCGGAGAGAGGCTGAGAAATAGAAAAGTAGAAGCTACCTACACTTGAACGCGGGGTAATAAACCGGCCTCGGCTGTGGGATGGAACTAAGATGCCGAAGTGGAAATGCACAGAGTGGGATGCGATCAGCTTCGTCTCCGCCCGTCCTCGGGGATCCCCGGGCCTGTGATATTCTGCAAAGTGGAGTTAGCCCCCAGCCGGTGCCTGGCGCAGAGTGGGCGCCTGTGAATGTTTACGAGTGAATACCTGGCGCAGCGGGCTGTGGTTGATAAAGCAAAAGGAAGTGAAGTCAAGGCACTTCTAAAGGCAACAGAAACCTAGTTTCCGAGAGCAGTGTTTCTGAGTCTTCAGGCATCTTGTCTCCAAGCCGGAAAAGACGGTGGTGGGGCCTAATCTGCATGTACAACAAGCATCCCTGGTTGCTTTAGGCCCCAGGCTCAGGATGCCTCAGAGGACAGGCAGGCAGGTAGCAGAGGCGTGAAGATGTCTGAATGGAAGACACAGGTAGACTTTTGCATCTGATGGTAGGAGTGTCTTCACTTCCACAAACAAATACGTCATCTCCATTTTTTTTCCTCCAAGGCAGAGCCCTCCTGCACTATTTGTTTTACCCTTTTTTTTAAAAAAAAATTTTACTGATTTCAGAAATGAAGGGAGAGAGAGAGGGAGAGAAATATCAACGATGAGAGAGAATCATTGATTGGCTGCCTCCTGCAGGCTCCCTACTGGGGATGGAGCCCAAAACCCAGGCATGTGCTCTTGACCGGAATTGAACCGTGACCGCCTGCTTCATAGGTCGATGCTCAACCACTGAGCCACACCAGCTGGGTTGTTTTCTTACTCTTGATGGAGCAATGAGCAGACATAAATATTTCCCTTATTAAAAACAACCGCTGTAACATTGGAGAGAAACACACACACACACACACACACACACACACACACACACACACACACGGGAGAGGAGAGAAGCATAACCAACCAATGAGCCCAGCACTTAGGGACAGCTGATCATCAGTGGCGGCTGACCCACAGGCTCAGTGTTGAGACCACTCAGGGCCACTGTCACGGTACCGAGACCACGGCGTAAGGGGCAGCAGTGACCCGAGCACACCCAACTGCATCCGTGTGGGACTGTAGGTCCCGGGCTGCCTCATGGCCTGATGTCTCCAGAGAGACCAGGAGGCGGCATTTTTATGTGCAACTTTTTAACTTTTAAACGTTGGCACAAAAAACTAAAAACCAATGTATGGTCCAAACACGTGCTGGCGAGCAGAGTTTGACCTGAACTCCATCCACATTTGACCTGAGAGCCTCCTCCTTTGCAACTCAGGATAGGTAATAAAGTTCGAGGCCACTTCCAGAATCAGGTCATAGTGTCACCATTACGGGGACCTCCTGAGCACACTGTCTACTTGAATGTAACGTCCCTCAAGGCAAGAGCCTTGTCCTTGCTGGTCACAACTGTACCCTTGGTATCTGCAACTGCCCGGGGCAGAGTCAGTGCTCAGTGAATGCAGGTTGGATGAATGGGTCCAAGCAGGCTGCCAGGTGACAGTGTCATGGCCCTCATCCTGCCATATCCAAGGCAGTAGAGGGGTCCCTTGGTCAAGGAAGCATAGCTCTGGCCATCAACTCCCTGGAGTGGGAACCTCCAAACCGGAAAGGTCTGGGATGGGTGTTGGGCCAGAAATTAGTCTGAAGAGTTCCCAGGGCCCTGATGTCAGAGCTCTATGGGGGTGGGGGGAGATAAGGAAATCTCCCTCCCACTTCTCCCCATGAGCATGGTCCCATCCCTCTTGCTTCCACAAGGATCGTGGCACATCTTGGGTCGGATGGGGTTTGGGTCACGCAGAGCCTGACCTTCAGTGTCGGCTGAAGGTCACACAGAGAGGTTGCTGCTTCCTCCAAACACCACCACCCACATCTGGAATGACTGAGGGAGCTCTCCCTTTGTCAGCGGGCAGCGGGATTCGGGAGACAGTCTTCGGAAGGATGGGAGAGGCTGGGGCAGGCCACGCTGTACTTCCTTAGAATAGTGCTCCCTACAGTGTGTTTGATGGAGCACTCAGATCACTGAATAGCTATTACTTGGGGGAAAACAGGCAAATAAATTTGGGGAACAGGTTAAACAGGTTTCTTTCCTGCAGGACTTTTCAGAGCCTTTACTATAGTAATGTGCCTTTTGAAACTCCGCTAGCAAAATATAGTATCACTTCATCCTAGTCTAATTTGGCCAAGGAGTTTTTGTTGATAGCTTGTCTCTGAGCAGTATGTTCTCTGGAAAACACGTCTTTGAAAGTTGCCCTCTTCCTGGCTCTGGGAAGTGAGATTCTAAGGAAGTGGCCGGCAAACTGCGGCTCGAGAGCCACATGCGGCTCTTTGGCCCCTTGAGTGTGGCTCTTCCACAAAATACCACGTGCGGGCGCGCACGTACAGTGCGACTGAAACTTCGTGGTCCATGCGCAGAAGTCGGTATTTTGTGGAAGAGCCACGCTCAAGGGGCCAAAGAGCCGCATGTGGCTTGCGAGCCGCAGTTTGCCGGCCACTGTTCTAAGGTATCATCTCTGTTAAGCTCCTGAGACTTCCTGCACCGGCTGGCGGCAGGTCTCTGCTGTTGGCAGGGCTCCCCAGGTGTGCTGGGTGGTGGTGGGGTGGGGCTGGGCGCAGTGAGAGCAGGGACCCCGGAACCGCCACCAGAGCTGCTGGAGGCCATTTTGCCCTGTAAGCAGTCCCATCGCCATCTCCGGCCGGGCTCGAGCTCACGGGCCATGCGCACTGTGCAGCCTTTGGGGAAATGAACAAGGAACTCCTCCTCCTGCTTCTAAACCGATGCCCCAGACTTCTCGGCAATGGCGCCGGACATGGACACCTCTAGGCTGAAGGTCACAGAAAGCCTGCCTCTCACTTGTGAGATGAGAGATAAGCTGCCCCTAAATTTCTTCTTGCTCCAGGGAGTATAGAGCTGAACCCTGGGGTTCAAGGGCAGGCTCCCCTGTGGACACAGATTTGGGATTGAATATGGCAGTCAAGCCTGGCTGGTGTGGCTCAGTGTTTGAGCATCAACCTATGAACCAGGAGGTCACAGTTCCATTCCCCGTCAGGGCACATGCCCGGGTTGTGGGCTTGATCCCCAATGGGGGGCGTGCAGGAGGCAGCCAATCAATGATTCTCATCATTGATGTTTCTCTCTCTCTTTCTCTCTGAAATCAATCAATCAATCAATCAACATAAAGATGAATGTGGCAGTCAAGACTTCTCTGGGATCGGGCAAGGGTGGCCATGTGAGGGCTGGGGAGGCAGTGGTGGCACCAGCTTCAATGATGAGAACCCTCAGAGCCCAGGATGGAGGGGGGAGAAGCAAAGGCCTTTTGAAGGGGGTGGAGTTTGGTGGAAGAGACGCCCGGCTCTGCCCTCTGTGGGGAAGCTGTCAGGAGAGCGCCCTGCAGAGCCTCCCGTCTGCTCGCCCTCAGCTCTGTCTTGGACACGTGGGTGTGGGCACTTGGCTGTCCCCCTCCTGGACCGAGGTCAGCAGAGAGCCCTCTGCCTGTCACCTTCCACGGAGGCAGTCAGTTCAACCAAGGGTGTGCCGAGGCCTCCCCTTCGCTCTGGTCCAGTCCCGCTGACCACAGAAAGAGAGGACACGCAGCAGAGCCCGGTAGGTAATAAGATTTACTGGAAACTTCTCAGCCACATTCAGGACTGGTTTGGTGGATACATCAGAAGGAGGCTGCATAACATGAGGCAGGTGGAGGGGCGGGGAGGAGGGTGTGGGCACGCGTGTGCGGTGTGCCTGTGCTGGGCTGGGTGCCTGTCCAAAGTGGAAAGTGGGTGTGTGCGCGTGTGAGTTTGTGTGTTTATGTGTTAACAAGATAAACGAATCAGGAAAGGAAATGTATTTTATCCCACTGCACATTGCCAAAAAAGCTAGACTTTACCTGTGGCATCAAAAGGGAGTAAAAAAATGATCGAATTACCAAGATTATAAATAAGGTTATTTGCTTCTCAAAAATCCCTAGTAAAACATTAAATATCAGCTCTTTTGGGGGAGAAATACATTCATTTTAGGGAGACCTCAGGAAAGCGACCATCCTTTTGCTCCACCCAACGAGGTGGGGGAGGGGAAGTCCCCAGAGGGTCCCCTCGAGTTGAGCCAGGTGGCCACTCACGTCCTGCCACTGAGGGAGACGGCCAATGCACAACTGACAAATGAAACTGCACGTCCATTAAATTAAATCAAATGGGAAACACGTGTAGTCGGTCCTGTCTTCACAGCCATTGGGTGGGAGGGAGCAGGAGGAGGTGCCAATCATGGGGACTGGAAGTTGGGGGGGGGGGAGGTGTGTCAGGGCAGATGGAGAGCTTCTCCTGCGGGAGCCCAGTTCCCCCAGTGCCCTGTGTCAGGTGGTGTGCAGGCTAGTGAGGCGGGTGGGGGGAGGCACCGCTTGGCTCTTGGGTGCCCTCCCCGCACTTTGGAAATTGATGGGAGGAGGGATGTAGCACCTTCTCCAACCCCTGGCTTCTCGTTGGGCTGGATGCTTCTCTCCACTGTTTCTCTGAAGGATAAAATGAAGGAGAGGATGGAGGCTGATGAAGCCGGCCTGGAGCAGCACATCAGCTGGGGGCCTGGAGGGTGGAGAGGTCCCAGCTAACCTGGCTCCACCCTCTCTGATGGTCTGTGGGGGGTGGAGCGTGTGCGGAGCTCGGTCTGAGCTGGCACATCTGGGATGAGACACCATTGTCCTGTCGTTACAGGAGCCGAGTTCTGTGAACACCTAGAACAGCTGTCACTCCCAATGTCACCTTGACGCACCTCCTAGCTCAGGTTCTGCCACCTCCTTGGGCCCTGAAGACCCAGGTGAAGGGACCCCTCTAAATCTGCAATTTGAGCCCAGCTTACCACTCTTTTCACAGGGAGAGAGGGAAGGAGGGAGGGAGAAAGAGAGAGAGAGATAGGTACTGGTGGCTCCTTCCCTCTCTCCCAAGTCCATGTTGCCTGAACCCAGAGATGGGCCTGGGAAGAATTCGCTGGAGCCCTGGGAACCCAGGTCTCACTCTGACCTGCAAGATGTGATGCTGCAGCCCCTCCCACTCCTCCAGCCACTGGCAAGATGTCGCTCCTGCCCTTGAATGTCTCTCAGGGGGTGGGGCGGAGCCCCAGTGTGTTTGCCTTTTCTCCTGCTCTGTCCCCGGCAGAGCCTCTCTCTGCGGACAGCACTGCTCTGCCTCAGTGCAGGGCTGTAAACCATCAACTCCTTCCGCCAGGGCCTTCGGGTGCCATCTGTCCTCGGGGGTCGATGGATCCAGGTCTCACTCCTGCCTGTCCGTAGGGCTGCGTGGCCGGCCCCCCAGAGTCCTCTGCGTTCCGGGGAAGCAGCGCTGGGGTCAGAGAAGCTCGGTGGTCGGGAAGGAGCAGGTGTCTCCTCTGCATTTTGTCAAGCTACTGATTCTGGGAAGCAAGGGCCCAACTTCCTCGGTGCCGCCTGCCCATGTCCCCTTCCCCCCCACCCGGAAACCCCCTGACGACACTCCTCTCCTGCTGGATGATCAGTGCCATCTGGGCTGCCAACTACTCCAGGGAGTCACTGTGTTCCAAGCCCAGGTCACTGACATTCGTCGTTTGAAGCTCGTCAGCCTCCTCCTCCAGTTCCTCTTCCTCCTCCTCTTCCATCTCATCCTCCTCCTCTTCTTCTGTCCCGTCCAATGAGTCGTCGTGTGCGGCCATCATGGCCTGCTGCATGGCCATGGTGGCATTGTCTGAGGACAGGGACTGCAGGTTGTCCAAGCTGATGGAGCCTGTGAGAGGAGGGGAGGGTCAGGCCAAGGACCTCAGTATTGGAGGGTTCAGTGGGCCGGCTCAGGGGTGGCGAGCTGGCAATTGCTGGCACGAAGCCCCTGTGTCAGCCCCCGCCTGCCCCTCCCAGGCAGCAGCACCCCAGCTGCCTTTACTGAGCCACTTCTGTGCAAACATGTTAATACTTGTGCCTTGCTAACACCTTGCAGGGCAGGTATTATCCCTTCGAAAGAGGAGGAAACTGAGTCTCAGACAGTGGAGGCATTAGCTGGGGGGACACAGTCCGGCGAGAGAGCTGGCATTCTCCCCTGTGAGCTGATTGGCCCAGCTCACAATCTGCTTTCCCTGCCATCCCTCATGAGACAACTGCCCATCACACAGGAACCACAATGCAGCCACATAAGTGCACACACATGCAGGAAGGGACGCACACATGCAGGGACGCAGACATGCAGGAAGGGACGCACACATGCAGGAAGGGACTCACATATGCAGGAAGGAATGCACAGACGTGCAGGAAGGGACGCACACGTGCAGGTAGGGACACAGACGTGCAGGAAGGGACGCACACGTGCAGGTAGGGACACAGACATGCAGGTAGGGACGCACACGTGCAGGAAGGGACGCACACGTGCAGGTAGGGACACAGACGTGCAGGTAGGGATGCACACGTGCAGGAAGGGATACACACATGCAGGAAGGGACTCACATATGCAGGAAAGGATGCACACATGCAGGAAGGGACGCACACACGCACGTAGGTATGCACACGTGCAGGTAGGGATACACACACACACACGTAGATATGCACACAGGAACGTAGGTATGCACATGTGCAGGTAGGGATGCACACATGAACACCTTCACTCCCCCTCCCCCACAGAACTACCCTGTGCTGAGCTATAAATGTCTGGCTCATTGAATTATTCATTATGCACCAGGCAACCGGCAGTTAAAACAGTGTCTGTGAAGAGTGTGATGGAGAAGCTGGGAAACAAAGCCCCTCTCGCCTCCGTGCATAACCCGCTGCCTCTCCTGTATTTACAGACGGCACTGGCTCTAAGCAACTTCGGTGGGAGTGGGAGTGAGGAGGGGCTCCGTGGAGCAGTCATGGGCTCCCCTGGCCTCTGTGAGGTTGCTCCTGGCCTGTTAAAACAATGCAAAGCCCTCCTTCTTCCCGGTTTGTCCACCCCCTTCGATAGGGGGCAGGGAGGGATGCCTGTGGCCGAGCAGATGTTCAGCCGTGGATCTTTGCGCAGCTGTCCCGCCCGCCAGTCCAGCCCCAGTCCTTACCGTCAGGGTTTGTCCCCGGGGCGCCGCCCTGCTGCTGCAGCACCCCCGCGGCGATGGAGTTGGGCCAGAATCTTTGGGTGGGCCGGTGCTGGGACTTGATCTTCTTGGCTTTAGGGGCAGGGTCTGGGTTGCTGGCATCAAGCATGGGCTGCAGGATGCGCCTCCGGGCATTGATGAACCTGCCCAGGGGGGAAGGTGGAGACCTGGTTAGTCACACTGCGTGGTGGTGGTGGTGGTGGTGGTGGTGGTGCGTGTGTGTGTGCGCGCGCGCACGCGCGCGCGCAGAGAGGGCTAAGCTGCTTCCAGACTCAGCAGCCGATCCACTGTACAGGACAGACTGGGGTCTGATTGGGGGTGAAAGCCCAGCTGGTAAAAGGCCCTGGGCCCCAAGGACTCATGGAATCGCTTGGTAACCACAAGGCAGCATGGGATGGATGTGTGAGGGTCAGAAATCTTTACTCGTACCTGTCAGGGTTGAACAGAGGACGGAAGAGCCCCCTTAGTCAAAGGCACTAACCTCTGACTTCTCTCCGAGGACTGAGGGCTTGGATCAGGGAGCCCAATCCTGTGTGTACTCCCATCCAGCCAGATACCCTCCCCCACCCCCCCTCTCAGATTTCTGACAGCCCAGCAGGACACAGAGAAGGGGAAGCTGAGGCCCCTGTGCAGTCAGGACGGCTGACACTTCCTCCTCCTTCCCACCACTACATTGCAGAACATTTTAGTTAAGCTCACATAAGGTGGGGGCAGACCAGGTGACCACTGGTGGCCCCTGCAGTCCTTGGCTGCAGGCACTTGTGTGTGTCTGCAGTGCAGCTGGGGCTGGGTTTTCTATCCAGTGATGTTTGCAGCACAGTTTCCCAGCAGAGGGCGCTAAGAAGCTGCAAATGAAGCGACCAGGCCTGTGCTGATGCTGGCTTTCTGCTGCCAGTCCAAATGGGAGGACTGTCGTGGTGGCTGCGACGGAGGCAGGACTAGGCATTCCGTCTCTCCTCCAGGCTGCGCACTCCCTTGCCAAGCAAATGGCCTCTGCATCTGAGAGCCCGTGGGTGGACGATGCCAACTCACCAGTTATTGACTTGCAAGAGGGTGAGGTTTGTCTGGGCCGCGATCTGCCTTTTCTCATCCTCCGTGGGGTAGGGATGCTGAAATGAGAGGCGAAGGGCTAGTGAGGGGTGGGCCTGTGGCGACCTGGGCCCCTTAGGGACCATGCCCGTGTCAGGCACTATTCTGGGCCTGTGGTTTGGAAGCCCAAACTGGAGAAAGTGTAATGGTTATTTCCCCAAAAGAATGGGCTTATGGCTTGGAGAGTGGCTGCCCCATGCCTTTGGCTCCACAATGAGGGGCCCCAGCCTCAACTCAAACCCCCATAATGGGACCGTTATATATGTTAATAGCCTCCAAGGCACTTTACATCCTCCACACCTGGTCCTCCCCGACCCCCAGCAGCAGGGCAGGCATGGAAAGCCACAGGACTATCAGAGGTGGCAAATGGGGTGAGTGAATCATCTCCATGTAAGTTAACTGACATGTGCTGTATACCCACTGTGCGCCCAGATTCATGCCAGGCATCCTAGGAAGCAGGAGATACATAGAGCGACATCCCTGCTCGTGTAACACGTCCTAGCCTGTAAGTCTTCACGCACTTACTTTCCCTTACTAAGCATCACACCCAGACTGTGTAAGGCAGCCATTCGGTGCCGCCTCCCCACACTGCAGGCGAAGCGCTGAGCGGCTTCTCCTGTGCGCCCTGCGCTGTGTTCCCTGCAGTTTGCTACTCAGCCCTTCTGAGTTGAGTCGTTTCCCTCCCATCACTCATGATGCCATTTGACAAGGTCGAGTCGGTGGCTGGGGGAGGGGAGAGGAAGGGGTGCAGTGTCTGTGCCACCCCTGAGCTCTCCAGCCCGTGCCCCGACCACGTGTGTTTCTCACACACTGTGGCAGAGACCGTGTCTTATTAACTCACCTTCCACCTGCAGACGACACAGCAGTGACTGCTGAGTGGCAGAGACAAAGCCACAGGTGCTGTGGTTTGGGAAATGAGTGCTGTGGAGGCTAAGGAGAGAGGGTGTCGGCCAGAGGCTGGGGAAGCTGAAGAGGTCTCGCTAAACAATGGGCGTTTTGAGGGGCGGTGGGAAGGGGTCCTTCCAGCTCCCTGGGTGGAGAACCACGTGATAGCTGGGTCTGTGTGTCTTTTCAGCCTGTGCACCAGGCACCTGGAATAAAGGTGCGGTGAGTGTCTGAGTGGGTTAGAGCCTTGCCCTGGAAGCCAGAGGCGATCGGGGGGCTCCTGGGGCAGAGGGCGAAGCCAGCCAGAGTGGTGTTTGGGCTTCCTAAAGCCCAAAGACTGGGATCCAAATCCCGGCTTTTGACTAGCTGTGAGCGCAGGCATGCCAGGTACAAAGTCATCTAATGAGTAAGTGAAATTGGACAGTTCAGTAAAAGGGGCTCCTCATGCTGTTATTATTGGATGATGTCAGCAAGGTGCTTGAAGGGCTCTAAGGAATGAGTTTATGATCAGCCTGGGGAGCGCCCTCATTATCGGTGACAAAGGAAGCAGCCTGGCCCAAGTCATCAGAACCCTGTGTTGTTTAATTCACACCTCCGACCCCCGCAAGCCGGGGCAGCGGGCCTTGTGGCTCGTGCAACGTTGAGATTCTAACAGAAGGAAAGCACCTCCGTGGCAAGGAGCCAGTCTCCTCCCGATGGGAGGCTGGGAGGAGAGACTGCAGCCACAGGAGGCAGAGCAGCAGGGGCTCTGCGCGCCCACACCTTCTGGGGATGGGGTGGTGCCCACACCCTGCTCCCTGCTCCACGGAGCTCCCACCCCTCTCACCAAGGAGCCAAGCTGCCCATGGCCAGCCGGTCTGAGAACACAGCAAAGCTTTTTAGCTTTCTTGGGCCCCACGAGGCCCTTCCGTGCCTCCATGCCTTTGCACATGCTGTTCCCTTTCTGGATGCTCTTTCCCCCACGTTCCCTGCATGAGCGAAGACCCGTCACGGATGAAATCCTTGGGGAGGCCGTTGCAATCCCCTGGGGCAAAGCTGGCCTCACTGCAGGTGAATGACTGCACAGCCCACTCCGTGACAACCCGGGAAGGACCCCAGGCGGGGCCCAGTCTCATTAGATACTGTGTCTCCAGTGTGCAGACCAGCAGCAGGCAGAGGAGATGTTCGATGCCGGGTATTGAACAGATGAACCAACCCCCAAACGATGGCCAACTTATTTCCTTAGCAGAGCCGGCCGCGCCTGTTCACCACCTACAGGTGCTGGGAAGCCGCCGCCTGGGCGTCCGCTAGTGACAGGTGCCTGACATGAGCTCGGAGCCGAGAGGGGAGGGCGCTGGGAGAAAGGAAACCTCTTTATTAAAGGGCAGGTGTAAGTCCACTCGGTGGTGAGAGGCAGGGGTGGGGCTGATTGGTCGGGAGGGCTCTCCCCCTTGCCCCCCCCCCCTGGAGGTGGGCCTGCTGTGGACTCTGAAGAAGGACCAGGCCCTCCCAGTGAAGGAGGAGTGGGCCCTGGGGGCGGGAGCCCTGCGCTAGGACTCATAAGCCAGCCAGATGCGAATCTCTTCCACTGTAAGGACCCCCAGAGAAGGAGCTCTCTCAGCCCCCACGGAAGTAGTGTTTGCTGTCTCTGAGGCGGCTTCTGGTGTGGCCTCCGTGTGTGTGGATGTCATAAACCCAGACGAACACGCTCCCGCTACATGGAGAGGGCCAAGCAGAGGGTCACAGAAGCCGGCTGGTGTTCTCTGTGGATGAGGATGCTAACCCCTTGTCCTGGGAGAGTGCAGGCCCCAGCGCCCTCTCTCCAGGAACCAAGATCTCAGGGGGCACGTGATGGAGGCCCTGGGGTGGGGGCAGCAGCGGGTGCAGCTTGGGGGACAGGCGTGTGCACTGGAACATTCCTGGCGCCACATCTGATGGATCCCGGGAGCGGGTTAAGAAGACACCATCTTGCCTTGGGGTGAGGATGGTTGAAATAGCGCCCAGAGGGCAGACAGCGGCTTTGAGATGACAGGAGGGTGAAGACGGGGAAGACTAGACAGCAGTGAAGATGGACGGCTGTAGTCACACAAAAATACCAACCATGAACCTCACGGCTACATGTGGAGTGAGAGATGCACGCTGTATCAGCTCCTGGGAGGGGCTCCGAGCCCGCCCTGCTCAGCCTCCCACAGATGGTTTAGTTCTGTCGCCCCAGAGAGACAGGCTGCAAGTGTTTGAGAGAAGGGACCACACCTGCCTTTCCACCCGCCCCCCCCCCCCCCCACACACACACACATCGGCAGGGGATGGTTCCTGAGGACACAATCAAAATAGCCTGGCCCCGAGCAGACCTGGGCCTGGCCGTGCTACTTTTAGCACAACTGGAAGGACTCGGGGCCAAGGACAGGGCAGGCATCCAGTGAGACTGGGGGCCGCCGCGCCGTGTGGCTGCTCTCGGGGCCACCTGGGGGAACCCGGGAGGGAGGCACAGGCAGCGGCCTCTGGAAGTAGCTAATTCCTCCCTGGAAAGGCGCAGACAAGCTAGGAAAGGACAGATCCCCCTCAGGGCCGCGTGGGGCCACGCGTGACAGGGTGACTAGGAGTGCTGCCCGGTGGCTCAGGGGATGGCCCTGGAGAGGTCAGTCCTGCCCACCACTCATCCGCGGTGTGACCTTGGCGATTGGTTGTTTGATGTCTTAGTTTCCTCCGCGTAGACGGAAAATAACGAAGGCGTGGGGGGCGGCTCCGTGGGCTATGCCGGTGAAGGTGCCCTCCATGGGCTCACTCCATACGGTGTAGCGACGCCTCCCAGACATCCTACCTGCCATGAATGTTGAATCTCCAGAGAAGGAGTTACATAGGGAGGTGCTGATGGCACCAGATGCCATCAGGAATGTCCTTGGGAATCTAACCCCGATGGTCCCTGCCTCCCTCTGACACCTCCCTCCGCAGCCCATAGCCACGGTCTCCGGCCTCAGTGAGGCATCTTTCAGTTTGAAGAATGGGTTCCGCGGGGCCCTGGGTGGGAAGGAGGCTTGGCCAGGGCTGGTGGAGAGGGGCCAGGCGAATGCTGTCACTGAGAGCCACCCCGAGATTGTCCTCCCACCCCCTACCCATGCCGATAAGCACAAGGCCGGCCAGGTTACCACGGGACACAGCCCGGGAAGGAGCCTCCTCGGCCCCAAGCTGGCTGTGGAGCAGGACAGGGCCAGCTTTCCCTTCCCATTCCCGGTGCCCAGCGTCGCCCAGGGTCAGCCGCACCCTCTCCCTGGTCCCTGTGGGCGAGGCCTGAGGCCCATGGTGTCGGCTCTACATGGCTTGAGGAGGCTCAGAGGCCAACCAGAGGGGGCGGCAGGATGGCGAGGCCCCGAAACATCCCACGTTTCATCATCAACAGCAGGGGGCACCCTGGTTCAGAGACGCTGAAATGGACACAACAGCCTTTAGAACGGAGAGGAGCACACGGAGGGCCTTCTTCCTGCATCGCCCTCGCTCAGCGCTCCTTTCATTGGCTCTTACTCCTCTCCCCCTGACCTGCGCGCACAGAGGAGCACAGAGAACTAGAACGTGTAGCTTCTGTGTCATCACAAACACCCATGTGACCACTGCCCAGGTCAAAAAATAGGGCCCTGTCAGCACCCGGAGCCCCTTTCGCGACCCCCCCCCCCCAGTCACTACCCCCAACGATAACTGGTTTTTATGGTACTTACATCCTTGTCTTTATGGTTTTAGTGTCCATGTTACATCCTTACACAGTATGGTTGGGTTTTTGGACCCTATAAATGAATCATATAGCGTGTATCTCTCACTCCACAGTGTAGCCGCGAGATCCATGTTTGGTATTTTTGTGTCACTACAGCTGTCCATTTTCACTGCTGTCTAGTTTTCCCTTGTAAAAATCTACCATCTTCCCCTTCTTCACCCTCCTGTAATCTCGAAGCTGCTCTCCTCCCTCAGCCTATTTCAACCATCCTCACCCTAAGGCAAGACGGTGTCTTCTTACCCCCCCCAACCCATGGGCTCGTCCTGATGCCCCTCCCAGGAGCTCCGAGCCGCCCTGCTCAGCCTCCCACAGATGGTGTAGTTCTGTCGCCCAGTGAGACAGGCTGCAAGTGTTTGGGAGAAGGGACCACACCTGCCTTTCCACCCCCCTCAT